TTTTTTTTTGCTATCCTCTTAAAGGGTAGACAATAAGTCAGAGTGACTTGTTTTTTGAGCTTGTCCTCATAACTGTCAAAATGAGAGCTTGAATTTAAAACAAAGCTGACTTTCCAGGAAATCAAGAATTCACAGCAACATAACTTATCTACACATAGAAATTTTCCTTAAGACAATGTATCTGTCACTAAAAATAGCAGATATTTTTACTTAACATTAATAAAATTAACAGAGGCACTTTAAGAAAAAATGGCCCTCTACATTCATTGCTAAGTGACTTCTATTGCTACACTATGTATTATGTTACTTTGCATTCCCATATTAAAGCCTGAGTTCTTTATACTGAGCCTTTAGCACATCACATTTAGTTATTCAACAATTCTTTAATTCAGTTTAATTAAAATACTGGATGGATTCTATGAATCTATGAAGTAGATTAGTAGACACAGAGATTATCAAGACATATTCCCTACCCTTAAGAACTCATATAGTATAATGTAATATAAGAAAGTCTCCTTTACTAAAAACTAAGGAATTTTATTGGATGAATGACATACAAATAAAAAAATTATAAATACTGAGCTTAGATAAGGAACCCGTTGAATACCACTTATCTCACTGAGTTGGCTTGCTATAGTTTCAATGTGTTTTCATTACTTTGCCAGGGGTCTAAGTCCAGTTCTAGGTCCTTGGGGCACTCTTTTCATGATGGCTGCACATCCAACTCCAGATAGAAACTGTGTTCTACGAAATACTCAACTGAACCACAGACCATTTGCTTCTCTGAAACCCTTTAATACATTATTCTTAAGCCCTTTTAACTTGAGTAAAGTCCAACAACTGTTATTTTTGCTGTTTTGGCTTGACTTACTCTATCTCACTGTTTTCTATACCCATAGGCCAGTAATTCCCAACTTTTTGTTCATCTAGACACAGCGCAAGATAAGTACAGCAATATCCTCCTGTGGGTGTAAGCAGAAGTTGTATGTGCTGTGTATCCCACATAAAACTTGAAGGCAAGGCTGAGAACCTCTCTTCCAGTTTGTGCTCAGAGAAATCTACTTCAACTCCCACCATAGCCTCTGTGTGCAATTAACCTTAAATTATCTCGTTTTTCTATACCAAAATTTTCAATTCAGCAACCTCTATGCCACCATGACTCTACTTTTTATTTATTTATTATTTTTTGGAGACAGGGTCTCACTTTGTCACCTAGGCTGGAGTGCAGTCACACGATCATAGTTCACTGCAGCCTCAAACTCCTGCACTCAAGGGATCTTCCTGCCTCAGCCTTCCAATTAGCTAGAACTACAAATGTATACCACCATGCCCGGCTAAATTTTTGTATTTTTTGTAGAGATGGGGTCTTGCTATGTTGCTCAGGCTGGTCTTGAACTCCTGACCTCAGGAAATCCTCCCACCTCGGCCTCCCCAAATGCTGGGATTATCAGCATTAAGCCACAGTGTCGGGCTCTTCTTCATTTTTTACCCGACTTCTTACTGTGTCATTACTTCTGGTCCATCATTAAATTATTATTCCCAAATGCACATTTCCATCTCAGAAAAGAATCTGAACAATTAAAGTCATCATATTTAGGGAAGTGATTTATCCATCAGTTATGCATATAGATAAATATCATAGACTATCACACGTAGGTACATACATATACATCTTCAGACACATACTTCTGTCCTTTTCTGTACTAGACTCTGCTACCTTCCTACCTCTTCAGCCTTATTTGGAATCTAGCTAGGTAACAAGGAGGAATCCCTTAGTACAGATAATCCACAAAGCAGATATTATGCCAGTGGATAATGAAGGATCATTTACTATGCCATAATGAGAGAATCCTCTGATAAGCCACTGGACTTTTTAGATACAATCATAGGAAGAGAATGTGATGGGTCTTTATGAAATCCAAAAATGACTTAAAAAACATAAGGTAACTTTACAAATAAGGCATGCCAAATAATAGAAAACATTTTATATATGGTTTTTATAATTTAAAAAGTAACTCTTTAAAGCAGCTATTCTAGATGATATTGAATAATTCTGTCACCATGTATTTTTCTCATGTATGGATTATTACACTGAAGTACATCACTACTGAACTATCCATTAGAAATGCCTAACACATGAAGAAGAGTAAAAAATATTTGTATAGTCTTAGGTATAGCCTTTCTCCATGTACCGGGGGTAACTTGAATAGAATTTTTAAAACTTAAACAAAACAATCTCCTGCATGTGTTTGGTATCAAAAGACCACAACTTTAAATATAGCTAGAAGTATTTTGGCAACTTTAAGTAAGAAACATGAAATATATTTTTCATAATGATTACTGGATTAACTAGATTGATAGCATTACTTTTCCTGGAAAACTAGGCTTTAATTTTAAATGTGAACTATACTTTTTATTTATAAAAAAAATGTTTTTGCCATTCCAATACATCAGTGTCATAAACACAAACTACAAATACAGTCTAGTTAAATAAAAACTTTTACATACGTGAGAGTTGTTTCCATTCTCGAGACTTGTTCAAGGTCTTCATCAGGGTCCTTGAATCCAGTAAAGGAGTAATAAGACTTGTCCCATTTGATGGGCCTGTCAGGCATCCTTTTAGCTTCTTTGAGAGGCTGGGTATGCACATTAGTATTCAAGCTTTGGATATGTTCAATAGATAAACTGCAGGAGTTGAGAATATATAATACTGTGCTTAGCAGATCTCTGGTGTGCAAAGTAAATTTGACTGCTCGAAATCCTAGAGAATATAATTCCCCCAAACAATTAATACAGATGATTATTTGCTTTATTTCAACATGTATAAAATCAAAATCTTTGAAAACATTCTATTACTGATATTTGTCCTATTAGCAAATCACCTGTAAATAGAAAAATGACTTCCCTTCTCTAAAACTATACCACACAATGTTTTACCTT